ACGGGGTAGAGAGAGCAGGCCGGGCGGGCCGAGGCTCCAGTTTGTCCCCTCCCCTTCTCTACCTTCCCCCTGCCGGCGGAGACGGGAGGAGGGGGCCGTGGGCCAAGCCCGGGCGGAGCGCGCCGCCGGCGCGGGGAGGCTGAGTCGCTCACCGGCTGGCTGCCCGAGGGGAAGGACGGGGGTCGCCGCCTACCGGAGGGGCACCCCCGGGTCGCGTCCTCTCGCACTGGCTAGGACCGCCAAGTGGCCGCCCAACAGGTGCTGGCACAGTCAGGGGGGTCCTGCTGGGCTCCCCCAGACAGGACCCGCAGGGCCAGGAAAGGAATGCAGGCAGTCTCCTGGCTTCCTTTCCACAGGGCGCCCTTAACCCCAAAGAAAGAACCAGATGAGTGGTGAAGGGTGCTACAAAAGCAAGCAGAAGTGAGGAAGAACTTTCTGCAGCGCTCTCTCTCTGCCCCCGCCCCCTGTGGCCAGGATTCGTCATTAAATTCCAAGGGGATCCCCATTCCCAAAGGGCTTGGCCAGAGTTTCTGGGCCAAAGGAGAAGGGTAATTGGAATTCAAAGATTTCCCTCTAGTGTCCAGCTCTCTGAAGTAAGGTGGATAAAGCAAAAGTAAAGACAGACAGCCAAAATAACAACATTCATCCATTTAACAGATACTGTATTTATTGAATGCCTGCTGTATCACTCTCCCAGGAGCTGGGACTGAGAATAGAACATCTCTGTCCTCTAAAGCTTGCATTCTAGTTGGGCTGCATTAAATGGACATCAAGCAAATCAGAAATACCACCCAACCTCTGGTTAAGTCAAAGCAAACAATTCTCCCAGGAACGGGTGCCAGAAGGGATCCGAAGGAAGCATATAGCCTTAAGGTATATGCTGATCTAGGAGTGGAGTCTTCAATGACTCTTTCTTAAGGAGTTGCCCTACCTGACCTTGCAAGGTCATCTACCAAGTATTGAGGAGAGCTACCCTGAAAAGGGATCCATGGATGCTGGGGCAAGGACCTACTCTCGCACCCCCAAACCAGGAGCTTCCTCAGTCTTGCTGAAAATGCCAAACCTGCTTCCTGTATGTGGACACCCACTGAGACCAACCCACCTGACCCCTCTGCTGGTAACATCCTAGACCTCTTCTCTTGTTCTCTTCTTAGAACTCTGCTAAGCTCAGCTCCAATTTGAAACCTTTATTCATCTATTGCATTCACTCATTGTGATTTTTTTTTACCACTTCTATCTTGACAGAGTACAGGGTACCAAGGCAAATAAATAAGGCCCGGTCTTTGACTTTAAACAACTTCAGTTAGAGGACACAGCTATTTTATCCACTTTTGCAGCTCCTCAACATGAATTGTGAATCCATATTTGCACAATAAATATGTTCCAAAAATATTTTGTAGATTTGTGAGCGAGAGTGGAAATGTTTCCAATTTAATCGCATAATTTGACTTGTTATATAAAGGACATGCTTCATGAATGTGTTTTAATCTACAGTCGTGTGCAGCTTAACAACTGGGATGCATTCTGAGAAATGAGTCACTAGGTGATTTCATCATTGTGTGAACATCATGGAGTGCAGTAAGCAAACCTAGACAGCATAGCCTACTGCACACCTGGGCTATATGATATAACCTATTGGTAGAGCCTACAAGCCTGTATGGCATGTTACTGCACAAAACCGAGATTAAGCCAAACACAACGAGAAATGATGTAATCAAGAGATGCCGTAAACAGGAGACTTCTGAGGCTGCTGCCCTCATAGCACAGCATACTGTTTTACAGCAAACTTTGTTTTTGTAAGTAAAAATAGTCCACTCAATAAGACTGATAAAAGTATAGTATGCTAAATACATAAACCAGTAACATAGTTATTTATTATCAACATCAATTATTACACACTGAACATAATTATATATGCTATAGTTTTATACTACCAGCAGTGCAATAGGTTTGCTTACTCCAACATCACTACAAACATGTTGCGATGTTACAACAGCAACCATGTCAATAGATGATGGAAATATTTTAGCTCCATTATAATCGTATGGAACCACTGGCATATATTCAGTGCATTGACCCAAATATCTTCATGTAATGTGTGAGTCTATTTATAATATAACTATTTACTTCCCAGATTTTCTAATTTTGTAACTTTAATTTTTTTTAATCAGGATTTTCTAAATGATTCTGTTGAATGCCCATATACTTGAGTTTCTTGGCCAGAGAGAGAGAGAGAAAGAGGCTGCAGATTAAATCCATTTGCTCTCACAAGATTATAAGGATGGATTATAAGGATGATCTCTACTCTTTATTTTGTATCATTTCATTTTGGTTAGAGCAGTGCCTGGCCCAGGGGCGATAGTAAATAAACACTCTTGACTGACTGACAGGGTTTTTACTGGAGTCCCTTACATGCTCCCTGGAATTTCAGCATGAAGGTTGCATTTGAAAAGTTACAGATGATCTAGAATAATACTCTATCTCTGCATTTTACCTCATCCACATTCTACAGATTGATTTGACAATCCCCTTACAAATAAAGCCAGCCATGACCCCCAGACAAAATCACGTCCACATTGCCTGGTTTCCTTTCAATGGACTTGCATTGTTGTTTCTTAAACTGCTCTTGCCCTTGGCATAATTGATTTCTTTTAACACTTTATCCTCTGCCTGTCTTCCTGTTCTATTTAATTATAAAGATTTCTTAGGAAAGTAGGATCCTTGAAGTGAAAATAAATTATATAATCTGGAGTCTGCACAATTACTAAACAATATATTTTTTATGGATATAGCTTTGCGTTGGCCTAAAGCACTTTCCTTAAAGAAAGGCATCTGTTTTGCCAACCTAGAGAAAATAATTGTGAACATTCTTTGTGGTTTTCATGTTTTCTTAAACCTTAGCAAGGAGTGCCCGCTTGGGCTGAATGCCTAGAGAGTGTTGCTACAAATTTCTGTTGAAGAACATATTAGAATGTGCTTAGTTCTTAACAATATAAGTTTGGGGAGGCATCACTGCTAAATTTTTTAAAGTGGAATAAAATTTAAAGCAAACTACCCATTTAGCCAGTTATTTAACACCCAGGAGGACAGGAACCACCAAGATATATTTTGCCTCAGAAAATCAGATATTACAAGTTTTCTGGCTCTCTCTTTTTCTGGATTCAATCCCAAGACACACACACAGACAGACACACACACACAAGTATACCTGCAAAATTATTTTAAGACCTTTCAGTCTTTTTGTGGCAGAGAATTAAGCATGAGTATCTGAAGTTCAGGCAGCTCTGACCTACTAAATGTCCACTAGAGTTCCAGAATGGCCAATAAGCAACACTTATGCATACATTTAAATGAGGCCAGGGGCTAGAGGTGTCATTTGTAAGTAAATTAAGTGCCCAAGGGTCCATGAAGTAGGTAGTCTCTCTTAGAGTTATCCTTTTCTCTCCCCACTTTTCCAGTTACCCCCATCCTGAGAAACATATGACCTTGCTATCTCTATATCTAGGCCATATGAATACTCTGTTTTTCCTACCTAGAATAACTAACACTCTTTTTCTTATGTTTAATGCTTGTTGATCAGTCATCACTACCTCCCAGAGTAACAGCTCCTAATCTGAAAAAGGCTTATTGCTGTGGCAAAAGATAGAGGGCTCTGCTAAGGCCCTACTCTCAAAGGAGCAGATGTGCTTTTTAATTTTGACTTTTGGGGGAGACAAGAGGTGGGAAGTTAGAGGTGTGGGGCCAGGAGAAATGGGTGACAAGGACTGGCCTTCGTATGGTCCTCTGGATTTTCTCATTGAAGCAAAGCTGCTGTCTCTGTTGTGAAATCATGGTTGAGTATGCCATTTGTTTTTCAAAAGTGCTTCTCTGACTCAGAATTCACAGGGACTAAGTAATCAGAAAGAGCCTCAAAGAAAGGAAAGCCCTAGTAACCTTTGAACCATCACCACAACAAAAGATCATTTCACTGGGAGATGGGAGACCAGGGATTTGGTCTGGCTTTACCACTAACAAAGAGTACAACCTTGATCTAGAAATCCTCTCTGCTCCTTTTCTTTACATGAGAAATGTACACTGGCTTCAGTCTCAATCCTCTTACTATTATGGAATCCTTTGATTCTCTGAGCTATTACAGATAGTGATGGCAATAGTTTTTTCAACGTAATGATGTTTCTATGATAATACATGACTAGAACAATGATTTCCAGCCTCAGTACAAAGGTGTGTTGGTGGCTGTCAAAAAATGATGAACAGGTGCTTCTACCTAAACTTGTCCAATCAGGTGGTCTTTTATCGTTATTATTATGGCTTGGAAAGACAAGTTCTACTAATAGCCAAAAAGAAGGGGAGAAAAACAAGCTCAGACGTCACTGAAAGCCCAACTATCAAGAACTTTATTGAATTCAAGAAAACTAAATAAATTATGTGTGGGTACCCACATTTTAATTTCTTTTAATATTTTGTTTTGATTTTTAGGAAGAGAGGAAAGGAAAGGAAGAGAGAGATAGAAACATCAATGAGAGAGATACATCAAT